AAAAATAATATAATATAATATTTATATTATATTTATAATTATTTATATTATATATAAATAGATATAAAATAAAATAAACTTGTAGCTGGCTAAATGGATGGGGAGCCCTTGCCTCTCCCCTGATGCAGTCAGGTTTCTTCTGGTCTTTATTGCAAAAGCAATACCTGCTAAACGCTAGGGAGGGAGTCCCCAGTTTAAGAATGAGTTCCGTCCCCAAGGTCTGTCCTTAAGTCAAATTTGTACGTAAGCCAGAACAGTATTATTGTATTAATACTGTATAAGTAGTGTGGTATAATGAACTTGAACCTTTGTGTATTTAACTTGAATCATTGTGTATTTAACTCAAATTTTGCTACCGTAGGCTCCGTCCTTAACTATGAGTCATCTGTAAACTGGACGTTCTTAACCTGGGGACTACCTGTACAGAAAGAGTCAAGGCCTGGGGAGGGGGGGGGAAACAGGCAAAATTTGGAATGCATCTTTTAAGAGCTTTATAGAAGCAGGTCTCAACAGCTGCATGCTTTTGCCCATTGCTCTCTTTCTTCTTCCTGTTTGTTCCAGGCCGGCTCTACCTTTCCCAGAATCCCCGGTTGCTCCGCATGCTGGAAGGAAGGTTGAAAGCAGAAGATAAGTACTCCCTTACCCGGGAGAACGTCCTGGGAGCTCTGCAGAAACTCAGCCTCAGGTGATGAATGTGGCGGAGGCGGGGGCTGCCAACAGTGGGGCACTTGATTGGGTTGGACTGGGTTGCAGGCTGAAAGCAGATGTTGGATTCCCAAACAGCTGCCACTGGGACCTTTCAGAGTTGCTGTCATAAGCACTGCTTATGTCCTTGGTGGAGCTTGGTCCTCAAACATTTTTACATTTTTCTGACACAGGTCTGTATCTCAGCTTTGACTGCGTTAACAAGCATCTTACACTGACTTGTATTTCTGCCTGTGAAAGTCCTAACAAATTCACTGTGCTGAATGCAGCAATTTTTTTCATCCGGGATAACTTGCTTCGGGTTAGCGAGAGCCTGAGATCTGCCCAAACATGATGCGGAATCCAACTTTTGATTTTGCAAAGTCGTAGGTGACCCCTGGGGGTCTTGAAGGTGGCCCAGCGCAGAGATAAGCTTTGTTTCTGCGAGGTGAAATGGCCTCTATGAGTGTTGCATTTGGTGGATATCTGACCAGGAAGGGAAGAACTTTCACCTAGGCCTGATTGAAATAAAAGAGCTCTATGAGGTGGGGATATAGAAAGAGGATATTTGCTCTAGAGCAGTGTTTCTCAACCTTGGCCGCTTGAAGATGTGTGGACTTCAACTCCCAGAATTCCCCAGCCAGCCTTCAAGCGGCCAAGGTTGAGAAACACTGCCCTAGAGAGTAACAGCTGCTTGGGTTTTCCATCCCAAATAAAGCAGATGGGCGGATTGCACAAAAACATATACTTGAGCTACAAAGAAAACACTTGTCCCGGAAAAGGGCATTTCTCCAAACTGATTGTTGAGTTCACAATTTCACGGTCAAGGCTTTGGATGCAAGGAGAAGCTGTTTGGAGAGCGCTACATGAAGAAAGCCGGCTTCAGAACTCCCTTCGTTTTTCCCTGCCTTACTTCTTTTTCCAAAAGCAAATGAGATGTATGCCAATGAACCTCTGCATTCCAGTGTTTTCTAGTAGGACATCCAGGAAGAAGCCCCCTCTGTGAACTGAAGCAATCATCTAAGAATCAGAGAGTCAGTCAGAACTATTATTTAGTGGTCTGCTACCTTTGAACCTGGAAGGTGCATGTAGTTGTCTTGATTACAGCTATTACTAGATTCATCTTTGAATTTATCTAACCCAGTGTTTTTCAAACTTGGCAACTTTAAAATGTGTGGACTTCAACTTCCAGAATTCCCCAGCCAGCATGTCATCTTGAAAGCCTGTTGGAGCCCCTCTCTATTTCAACTTATAGCTAACACAATCAAGGCAGAGTTGTTTTGAGTTTCTTCTGCACACTTTCTAATGTCCTGGGGCTCCAATACCTTTTTTGTAACAGCTCATTATTCTCCTCCCCCTTCTCTGAGTCAAACTCACACGCCATCACACAGAAGGACAAATGTGTCAGACCTGTGAGGGGAGGTGTGACTGGCAAGATGGGGAATGAGGAACTGGGGACCAGATGGGACCATTTTGGTGGGGCAAGAAGCAGACAGCAAGCACTCCAAGTGCAATGGAAAGGCATGAGAAAGAAGCTCAGGATTTAAACCTTGAGGCATGTAGCTGTATAGAACCAAAGTTTTAGCCTTTGTAGAAGCTGCTCTCTTATTGCAGTTAAAGTTGCTTCAGCAGCATCCAGGGTGTGTATGCATGTCAAGCTTGACAAAGACAGCGGCTGGAGCATTGTCTTTAAATGTGTGTCCGTGTGCTTTGTCCACCATGTTGCTGGTCTGACATACCCCCACAGACACTGTTCATCTTAAGAGCATCTTATCTACTCAAGCCAAGCCTCCTTGTGAGAATGCCGAATTCCAGAGGAAAAAATATTCCATGAGTCTGGAGGCAACCAACCACTGATATTCTGTACATCTGTACAGAGAGATCGGGAGTCAGCATCTCTACCAAAAGTGACCATAAACCTGGTGCAACAGTCATTTCTCAATGGGGTATTTTGCTTGTAAAACTTGAAATGGAGTGAGGGGAGGGCAGCGTTCCCCGGTGTGGTGCACTCCCAATCCTTCAGAAAATTGGGAGTGCACCTTCCAGAGTTCCCAGCCAGCATGATCTGTAGCCATTTGGCTCCTGGTAGTCCCACCTGGAGGGCAGCAGATTAGGGAGGATTGCACTAGGCTATTTTTCTCATGTGATTTCTGAAGGCAGCTGCCCTAAACAAATTAACACTTTACCTAAATCTTTCATTAGAATCGTAAAACCAGATCCTCCATTTCCCATGGATATACACTTCCTCTCTTGAGTAGGTTAAAAGGAATCACTCTCTGAGAGCAGTAGAAATACCTGACTTTGAAGTAGGCCCCAAAGCCTGAGAGTACATCAGTCGTGGTGAGAAAAAGAGCCCAATCCTACCACTTGATGGAAAGATTCCTGGTGCATTTCTTCTTGCTAGGCTTTCCAGCCTGGCTTCCGTGGAACAGATCTGAAGGCCTTCCACATTGGTGGGATTGTTAGGTAAAGACTCCAAAGCAGGGTTTCTCAGTCTTGGCAACTTTAAGACGGGCGGACTTCAACTCCCAGAATTCTGGGAGTTGATGTCCTCTCATCTTAAAGTTGCCACGATTGAGAAGCCCTGCTCCAAAGCGTGGAAGGCACATGGCTATGCTTTGACAGACTGCACTCAGATGCTTCTGCATTTCCTTCATTTGTATTGAAAGAGCGTTGAGCCACGTGACGAGCTCTCGAGACCCTTTTTAGTGTGATGGGAAGGGCCAGTTGATGGCATTTCATGCAAGGTGCATTTGGGTGAGTGAAGAGTTAAACAGGCCAACTAGCCATCTGATGAACAGAACAGGTGAACTAGGCCATATCAGCTGAGCTAATAATAGCTTCTGAACAGCAAACGTGTTGCTGTTTTTCTCACTTTTTATGGCCCATAGCTCATTGCCTATTGGAAGAAAAGTGCTAAGGTTACATAAATAGATGATAAAATATTCCTGTCTGCTCAGTAAAACATTAACTGCACCATTATCAGATAGGCTATGTATAACTTCGTGACCTAAGCACAAGAAAGTTATCTCTCTCTCCAAGGATTCTGATTTCCTTCTTGTGAAGATAAGTGATTTAGGGCCGTTTCTCTCGATCATTTTGTCTGTGTTGACTTTTTCCCATAGCTGTGAAACATTGCACAAGAGCGTTTAGGCCACTAACTGTGGGAAAAAGTCAACTTAGACAAAATTGATCGAGAGAAATGGCCCTAATGTCACAAAGGAATTTTGGCTGCATTGGCAGGACTTGTGTCGTGCAACTCTCATGAGAGATTTTGGGGGGGCCTTAAAGATAACAGATGGGGAGAAACCAGTATGACCCAGAGAACATAAACCAGCCAAAATACCTCCTCTCTAATTCTTGCGTGGAGCTTTAGTTCAATACCATCATCTTTTAAAAATTACATAAAACATGCATGTTTCAACGGTGCCTTTCTTGTGGTTAGTCACTGAACCACTGAATTAATGTTTCTCTGAATTCCCAGGCGGGCTTTGCAGTCGACTATGATTAAGGATGGGCTCATACCATGGTTGGTGGAGGTTCTCAAGGATACGGACTCCATGTCTGATTACACCTTGGCCTACTCAGTTGCCTTGCTCATGAACCTCTGCCTTCGGAGTTCAGGTAATCTGCCATACTGCGGTTGGGATCGAAAACAGGCTCTGTAGAAAGTGTCAGCTGCAACTAATTCTGTACTTTTCATACAATTTCTTATATAGTGAAGGGGGAAAATTGTTATTTGTGAAGTCTTAATTTATCCCAATTCATTAACTAGAGTTAATTGAAATCTTTGAAGTTTGAGTTGGGTTTGCTTGTCACTCTCTTAATCAGACACTTCTGAGCCTGCCGTGATATGGAGGGTGGAACTTGCTATGGCTCTTTTAAAATATATTTAATGGCTATTGTAGGTAAGCCTGAGGTCTTGTGGATGGGTGGCTGTTTTGAGCTCCTATGTCTGTTTTTGAACCTCCACAGGGAAGAAGATGTGTGTGAAAATTGCAAACGAGATTCTCAAAGTTCTCTCAGATCTCCTTGGCCATGAGAACCATGAGGTACTTCCATAGTGAATATTTTCAAGGGTTGGTGAAGATTATCAATTTTTAGGAACCAAACAGAGCATGTCTCATTTATTCCAAATACGATCTTGGATGTTTTGATTCTGGCTGATAATCTTCTGATGGCCAAATGAAGTTCTTAATCTCAAAATATCATCTGGACCCTGTAATGGCATTCTTCCTGGCTTCACCCCTGGCTGTCACTTAGCATTTCTCAAGTGATAATGACCAAAAAAATATTTGACAGCTTTGTTCTTCTAGTAAAGATCTGCATGGTCCCCCACCTTGCCCACCTTCAGATGATCTTTAAAAACTTGGTTAGGTTCCCAGACCTGGGGATAGATGGGTTGGGCAGGTGAATGGTGGGTGCAGTGGAGTTACGCTGGATCTTTCGGTGGTTTCCCTCCATATGCCAGATTTGTTTTATGCTTTGTTTTGTATTGTATTTTATTGTGTTTTTAGTTTATGAAGCTTCCCAGGATCATCTGGGAGCTGAGTGGCCTAGAAATCTGAGTGGCCTAGAAATGTGATAGGTTTGGAGCTCAGACTACTAGTTCATAGGGCTATTTTGAAGTCCTCTGAAGAAAAATGCTTTGAATTTCAATTGGAAGGTAGGACCTCATGCTCTGGATTCTAGACCTGAGCATCTGGAGAAGGCAAGCCAGGTGCTCTTCCCCTTCCATCTGCTTAAACAACAGGTTTCAGAGGCGAAGGTGCTTTATTAAGAAAAACCCTTAATCATTTGTAAAACACGAGATGAGCAATCTGGTGCCCTCAGGCTGCAATATAATAATGCTAAATAGCAAGCCCCTGCTTAATAGTTATGCCATTTGGAGGAAAGGAAAAACAGCAAGTTTCTGCAGCCTAGGGCCTTGCTCGGGAACGTTCCCACCTGGCCAGGGTAGAAAAGAAGTCAGAATAAGCTATCTATGATAGGGACATAGTGTAGGAAAAGCAGACATGATTCTTGACGGTCCAGCCATAGATGAGGCTGAGCCTTTTAGAGTGAGCGTTATCTCTGTTGGTTCAAGAGGCACTTCGTGCTGCCTTTATCTCCTCTGTTACAGATCCACCCCTATGTGAATGGAGCCCTTTATAGTATCCTTGCTATTCCATCCATACGAGAGGAAGCTCGAGCAATGGTAAGAGGCTGAAAAGTTCCCGGATATTCAGGTGGGCCAGACTAACAACAGCCAAGCACAGAAACCAGCTATGTAGAAATTCTTTTAAAATGTAAACCACCCCCCTGCTCATCACCAGCAGTCTGGAAACTGGTCTGGTGACTTCCTAAGGTGTTGAGCTCCCATGATCTCCTGCAGCAGTTCTGAAATGGTTTACTCCTCTGACTGATAGGCTTCCACCTGGGTTTCTGTGTCAAACAGACTCTCTGCCTGGGTTCATACAACCCTCTAAAGTCAGGTTAGTGTACCATAGCTGCTGTTTTCACACGTCATTGTAGTATCCAAATAAATATAGTGTGTGATGGCTAACAGTAGCTTGGTTCACACAACACGCAGAGACAAAGACTTGCTTGCAACTCCATTTTGGCCTAGCCTAATCCATCATGTGAACCGCATCCTGTTATAGGTTCATAGGGTGGCCTAAACTGCATCAGCTTCATCCTTGTCAGGAATGTTCTGTGCCTGTGTTTCTCAACCTCGGCCACTTTAAGACGTGTGGAGTTCAACTCCCAGGATTCCCCAGCCAGCATGGCTTAGGTTGAAGTCCACACGTCTTAAAGTGGCCGAGGTTGAGAAACACTGCTCTGTGTTAAATAGGCACCGTAACAGAATTGCAAGGCACAGAGAGGAACAAGGTTTCCTTTGCTCTTGTGGTCGTGCCTCATGATGAATGGGAGAGGTGATAAATTTCCATTGCAGAAATGCTGCTGGCTATCTAGGGAAGATAAGTTCCTCCCAACTAAATGGGAGACAAAAGCTGGAATCCATTCTGATTTGTGCAGAAGCTGATATCTGGTCTGATGCGTCCAGCCTCTCACTTTCTCTGCTATTATGTGGAATCTGTTTCAGTGTAAGCCTGATGGGTGCGTCATGCACTTTCCTGCCGCACTTATCTTTCGTTGCCCGCTCTAAAAAGCTATCTCTGAAGACACAGGGTTTTTTAATGGGAGGCTCAAATGACATGGTTTTAAATTGCCAGTCGTTTATTTGATTTGAGGAAAGGGTTGTCATTTTGTTTAGAACAGAGAAACCGTGTAAGAGAAGCTCTGATTGCCATTAATTTGAAGGGAATCTTATTAGTCGTTAAGAGGGAAACATACAAGCAGGAACAAAATCCATTAGGAACAAAATTCCCAATGGGAGGATTGTCGTAATACCTTTATGAGGATAACTACAACAACAAAGCCATCAATTCTTTCTCTCCCCTTTTCTTTCTCTATCTTTAATTCTGAGGAAGAGTTTTGTGAAATCCAAATGTTCGCTTAATACTTATGACTTTAAGGTTGTGCTATTGCAATGTGCATAATGAGGCTTGGGATTTTTTTATGGCTAAAGGGGTGCGGATTCAGCCCATTTGGTTATTTCATATCCCACTATCTTAATTCAGTATCCAGGTTAAGCATGTTGTTTGAATGCTGCTATTATGAATCCTAGAAAGGATATTTTGGTATGGTTTTTGTTTACATTGTGCATCTTAAGAAAAAGTTTGGGAGGCCTGCAGGGTTCCACTGTGTATATGTACAATCTTTTGCTCTTCTAAGTGCAAGAGGTACAATTTACAGTATACAGAATCCAGTGTGATCTCATTAAAAAAAATGTTAAATAGCACTTCCAAAAATAAAATTAATAATGTTACAGATTATTTTCTGTCAGACAACTATACAGAAATATCAAAATATCACAATTTCTATTGTGTGTTTGTCTTTTTAATCAGTTCTTGACTAGCATTAAACAGCATCTGTGTCTCCGATTTGGTATTTTAATATTTATCCATTATAAATTATTCCTTTGATTTTGCGAGTTTAGAGCTGTCTCCTTGTCTGTTACCTGCAAGGAGGGTTGAACATCAGATAAATCATAGGTACAAGAGAGGGATCAACACTGTGTTTCATCCAGCCTTTTCTTCACACAGCATGCCTCCTGAAACAGGATCGGCACATTGTGGTTTCCAGCAATTTTTGCTTTTGATCCTGGAAATTAATGCAGCAGTTAGGAAGGCAGCCATTTATCGCCTTCTCTGCCAGCGAGGCTGATCTTTTCTTAACTACTGCATTCTTTTGTTTCTTTCAAACTGTCTAGCCCAGTGTTTCTCACCTTTAGCAACTTTAAGATGTGTGGACTTCAACTCCCAGAATTCTGGGAGTTGAAGTCTACACATCTTAAAAGTTGCCAAGATTGAGAAATGCTGGTCTAGTCCATATTGTTTTCACCATTGGAATTGCTGCAATATTAGTATTATCTTCAGTGATACTGTTTTATGGCTGGGAAACTCAAACTCAGGAGCCAGACTTGAAATACTGCTTGTTGACCTGCGGACAACATCTTAGTGCTTTTATCCAGGAAAGCTGGCATTAAATCCTCTTGCGTTTGTCTGCAGACAGAACAGTGTATCTTCTGCTGGGCATGGGCGACTCCCCGCGTCTTTCCTTTATGCACGCAGGCCTACGTGTGTCGCCGGCAAAATGACCCTGTGCCGGGTCACCCCTAGGATCAACTAACACAACTTTGTTTTGCAACCCATCCAGGAAATGGAAGACATTCTGCGATGCTACATTGAGGAAGGAAATGCTGATATGATCCAGCAGATTGAGTTTATTATCAAGCAGCTGCAATCAGGTGGGAAGAGGGGACACTTTATCTCAGCTTTGAAACAGAAAGCTTCTAAAAAGCAGGTTACATAGTTTCATCATGCATGTTCCAGAACCTGTTCACATAACCCCTTGCAGTAGGTGCTAGTCCTGTTAATTTAGAAATAAGTACCCTTAATTTTCCAGTTGGACAAAGTTCCCATGTTATGCTTGCAGCTCAGCAGCTTTATAAACACCAGCTTTATAGCATCATGCAGACAATTCCTTTCAGCCATCTATAAATGACAGGCTGTTTGTTTAGGTGTCTATATCGCTCCAACCTTAAGGCCAGGTGGTTCCCCACTGTAGAGTTTCAGGCCCTCTGGATGCAGATGGTTACTGTGAGGAAAGCCTGCTGGTCAAGGTGTGGTACTTTGCCAGTCCTTCCCCATCTCACCCTCTCCAAATAACCCAGGGCTGGAAAATGCCAGTTCAGTAACATAGATTTAACACATCCCAATAAAGCAGCGTTGGGAATTTTGCAGGGGTCTGCATAAATGCTGCGGTCAGTCATCCTGCAAAGGATACAATCTGAGTAGCTGTTTTTTCTTGGCACATTAAGACGTTGGGTCCTTGAAAAAGACTAGCATTTCACCCTGCTCCAGAATGCTTCACATCTTTTCAACGGGCCCCAGCTTTTCAGAAACATCAAAAGTCCCTTGCTCAGTTATTTTGAGATTTGCAATCAAAAACCTCTGTTCTGGGTCAGACCTGAGGTGGATGATAAGATCAATAAAAGGAGAGTGAGTAGATTCTTGAAATGCATTTCAAGAGAAAAAAGAAAAACATTGATTAAATTTTTGATGAGCTGGAGACGAAAAATGATTCCTTTGGCTGATCCTCGTATATGTTCCCTCTCAGAAGAGCCACTAGAAGATAATGCAGAGTCTGATGATGAGGAGAAGGATGACAATAATGAAGTAAGTGCGAGTGCCAAACCCTTGGAAATCTAGATATAGTCACATGTCACCAGAGCATAGTTTTTTGGCCTTTATGATCTCTATTTGGAAGCACAGCAGATTCTGGCTTTTCTCTCTCCCCCTTTCCCCCACGTCCTTGCCAGAATCACTCATCCAAAATCACCAAGATAATCTCTCTGGCCATGTACGGAGGGTGTCAAAATCTGCAAGATGGATGCACGGAGATGATCAAAGCCACACCCCTGTCCCTACCATCTTGCAGATTTTGATGCTCTCCCCCCGCAAGGGTTCTTGCGGCTTAATGCTGTACTGCTGAAAGACAGTTTGAGTTGGAGGGAAGAACTGCCGTGTCTGTGTCTCACCTCTGAACTTTTAAATCTGGAGAAGAGGGATTTGCACCACCTGGAGATGAAAAGCTAAAGGTCTTTGGTTTGCTGTGCTCCTGGGCCACTAATGATCTGGCCAGAGGTTTGCGTCGCTCTGGAGACAAGCGCCAAGGCGAGCCTTACTCTTTCTCCCTGCCTCTTCCAGTTCTCAGCTGAAGAAGCTCATGGCAGCCCCATTCTTCACTTCAGCCAACAAGCATGAGGTCAGAAGGAATCCTAAAGCGTCAAGCAAACTACTTACATACTTAGGACATTTACTTACATCCTGCCCGGTTCCCAAGATTCCAGATGGTTTTGTTCCAAACATCATAAAAATCTTGAAACCCTAATTACCTCCCCAGCCTAAGTAACAATAAGTCATAAAAATAAAGTGGTGGTATAAAACAGAAAATAAAACTTTGCCATATGGTAACTCAAAAGTGCGTTTAAACAAAATGGCCTTGCCAGGAGCCAAAAGAGAGATTGTTGGGCCAACTTCCCAACAAAAATAATTCCATAGCTTCAGGGCCACCACAGGGAAAGATTCTCTGGGTCCAGGTCCCTTGACTTTTGCCAGCGTCAGGACTGCAGCATGCCCTCCTCCCCGAAATGTCTGCGTAGAATGGGCAGAATCCAGTCAGAGGAGATGGACCTTCATGTTCATTTAGCCATTCCAGCCATGGAGGGCATTGTGGGGGGAGACCAGCGCTTGGAATTGGGGAGGGATGAGCAAAGAGTGCAATTTCTGCTGCTGTAGCGTTTAGAGGAAATAAATGAGATTAACAAGGTTTTCTAACCACATTTCAGTGTTATTTGAGAAGCTGAGAATCATTTACCTAAAACCTTTCAGTGGGGCCTCGTAGTTGAGCAGGATTTCAGTCTGACGTCTTGCACCCAAAAGGCAAAAATTTTAATTGCAGTGTCCCACTCATTGTGTGTAATTCTTTCTAAGAGCTAATTGAGGATTTGTCTGTACCCCAGTCCAGCCCGGTGTTTGTGATATTGTCTTATGCTAAAGACTTTTTAGGGTTAAAACAAGCAATTTCTGCAAATGGTTTCTTTTACTTGAGAACATTGCCCAGCTCAACCATGTTCTCCTCATGTTGCTGCTTCTGCTCAGTTCCTCTTCTCCTTTGTTTGAATTAGTCACACCAAATATTCCACCCAAGCAGGAGTCATATATTAGATGGGATTATATAATTAATTGCTGTCACAGATAATCAGAACCAGGCAAACTTGGAGAGGTCACTAGAGACAATTGAATAAGGGCAGAAGGAACAATTCAAAAGAATATTTGAATATACGTATTGCCATGTCTGTTGGAAAATCATCTAAAAGAGGAGAGGCTTTTGTCATTGTCAAAAAAAATGCTGGCTTTTCTTTGTTTTCATTAAACTAACATTTCTGCTTGTATTGTTGACCAGCCTGCAATTTTACTTAGCGAGTGGACCTGCAGAGCAAGTTTCAATTTTAAGGCTTTGAGTAACAAAGGCAAAAAAGAAAGAAAGTGCTTTATTTGCTGAGTTCCTGTTTTACGTTCATTAATTTTGAACTGGCGCTCGAGATGGCTTGAAAAGATTGTAATGGTGCATTGCCTTCTCTACAACCCATGCGTGGAAAAGCACATCACTTCTTACCTATGAATGGGCCTAGAACATGCAGATCTGCAGACCCAGACTAAGCAGCAGTTGTAGGGCTGGAGCAGAGGACCCTTGTGGTCCCTTGCGATTCTGGCAGGGTGGGGAATAATGTGGTGATGCTTTGGGTTTGATTCTGAAATGATACACAAAAGCACATGGAAATGTACCTAGTACCTAGTACCTGTTGGCCAAACTAAAGTAGCCATGCATGATCCTGGAAGAGGATGCAGCTACCTTAATGAGTGCCCGAAGGTGCTGTATTGACATTCCCATGTGTTCCAAAGCATCTTTTCAGAACTGAATGTAAAATGTTGCAGTGAGCTAGAACGATCTGTGAAATGGAGTGTCTCTTGGCTGATGGATGGATCTGGTCTGCTCCTCTCTTTGCAGTTAGTTTCTTCCTGGGAGGCAGGATTTGCAAGTTCTCAGCACCCTTCCTAATGGGAAACCTTCTCCCCCACCCTCTCCAAGTAATAGGGAGCGTCAGCACAATGGCAGGGATGGGAAATTCCTGGAATAATGCTGGCAAATCTTTTTAAAAACCAGTTCTGGGGTTGAAAATGTGGTCTGTGGAGTTCAGGCATCATGCAAGGGGAAAAAAGCAGATGGGAATTAATTGTGAAATATCAACCATTAGACCTGGCCCAGGAGTAGCCAGATAAATTTGGACAAAAGAACACAGAGAAAGTCTCTGCAGTCTTTGTACTTAAGAAGTGACACACAGGACTATGTTCCTGCATCACTGTTGCATTGCAGAGGGCCTTTCGTCCACCAGAATGGAAAGGAAGCCCATTCTCACCCGTTAGACTTTCCGGGCATGTCTCACGCCCACTTCAAGTAGACCGAAAGCTTTGAACACGCACACACACAGGCACACACAGGAGAGCCTTGTCAGAATAAAGACGATTGTCTTTTCAAATGTTAAGCAGTCAGTGATCTGGTATATGGCAGGTTTTTTAACTTGAGTGGTTCAAATTCCTGGAAAACCAGATTGTGGCAGCGCAACGAAAGAATAACAGAAGCAGTGATGGGTGCGCCACGGTATACCCGTATGTCGCTGCTGCCCCATAAGCTGTACTGGTTGCTGTTTGTTTTCCAGGCTCTGTTCAGGGTGCTGGTTATGATCTATAAAGCTCTTCATCACATGGGGCCTAGTTATTTGAGGGACCACCTATCCAAAATAGTTTCTGCTCACCCAGTAAGATCGGGCAGGGTGGGTGGACTCCAGGTCATCTCTCAAGACCTAAGAAAGGCATCTTGTCTTTCATGGCACCCGCTCTCACCCCGATGACATTCCAGAGGTCTTTGAAGCTCTGGATGTTCTTCCTGGCCTTGAGCAGAGTAGCTGTGGCCCATGGATTTCCTTTGGTGCAGGGCATTTGCTTCTCCCAGAGAGGCATGATCTTTTTCTTTGTATCTCATTTTCTCTACTTCTTAAAGCGCAAGCCACCCAAAGTTGTTTGGAGTCGGGGTGGGTGGGTTGAAATTTAATTAACTAAATAATAGACTGAAAGGGGAAAAGGAGGAAGGATTGGATCAGTTTTCCTCCCATGTCACAGACGCAGCAACCCGGGATCTCGTTCCCTTTACTCTCTACTCACCACGTTGCAAGTTTTGGCTTCCAGGTTCAACACCTCACACTGCAGGACAGATTTCCTTCTTTTTAGGGGGAGAGAGAGAAGCATTTCCCGTAGAAAGACAGATGCTTATCGGCAGCTTGGAAAGCTACAGCTCTGTTGCTTCAACACCAGTTCATTCACGTTTTGAAGGGTGCTTGGATTTCACTCCTGCTTCCCATCAGGAAACATCTGATGCAGCCTCTCAGCTGGGATATTTCAGCCTCCTGATCTCTGAGCTGTCCCCTTAGATTTCCTTCTCAAACCTTGTTCTCATGTTGCCTGAGAGAGATTGAGTTCTCTTCCTCGGGCTTAGAAAGGAGTTTGAGCCAGAACCCAGTTTTGTGTCCAGGTCTGTCTTAGGAGCGTTTTTTTAGCCCAAGGCCAGCTCTTGAGATGCATTTGACAAGGGGGTCCTGTTTGAAAAATGGATCGAACTACGCAAGAATGTGGGGTGCGTGAGGGCAGAAGGGACCTCAGAGGAAAAACAATTTGCTTTCTTTCAGTACTTTGGAACGTTTAAAAGAAATAATAGTTCTACGTATTAATACGTTGCCATCTTGCCAACATATTAATTCTTAGAACTATTGTTTCTTTTAAACATTCCAGCCCCAAACTGCCAAGGTGGTTTCCAACGTATAAATTGCGATAGGTGATAACACTGTACGTAAAATACCATAAAACGCTACCTTATTCAGAATAAACAGAAAGGAGTCAAGAATAAATCTCTTACAAGCTGTTTTCATTACTGGTGAAAGTAGTGCCCTTGAATAAATAATGACGCCTTTGTCCAATAAGATTCTTATTTCAGAGGAAGTTGTAGTAAACAAATAGGTTTTCTGGGCTGCTTCAAGGGCCTGATGTACCTCCTCTAGAATATGTCTTGGCTGATTGTAGGGAGCAAAGTAGAGCCAAGGAGCTGCCATTAAACTGAGACCAGTGTTTCTCAACCACAGCAACTTTAAGATGTGTGGACTTCAACTCCCAGAATTCCCCAGCCAGCATAGCTGGCTGGGGAATT